TTTTTCCATCTTGTTATTGCTGAATATCAAAAAGGAATTAATAAATAATAAAAAGTTAGTTACAATTTTAGTGAATGGTTCTTGCAAATAATATTATTTAGTGGTTGAAATGACTTTTTGCCAAAACCAAAGCAGGCGGGAAGGAAAAATAGTTGTTCATTAACGATTTGTCTGAAATATCGTTCTTGAAACGCGTTCTTCTTCTTCTTATTTGGCGCTGTAACCGCCTAAGCGATTTTGGCCGAGTCCAAAACAGCACGCCAGTCATTTCTCTTCTGTGCTAACTGACGCCAATTGTAAATGCCAAGTGAAGCCAAGTCCTTCTTCACCTGGTCTTTCCAACGCAGAGGAGGCCTTCCTCTTCCTCTGTTACCAGCATCGCGGCCCGCGTTGAATATTTTCAGAGCAGGAGCGTTTCTGTCCATCCGAACGACATGGCCAAGCCAGCGGAGCCGCTGAATTTTAATTCGCTGCACTATGTCTATATCGTTGTAAAGCTCATACAGCTCATCGTTAAATCGTCTGCGATATTCGCCATCACCAACGCGTAAAGGTCCGTAAATCTTTCGCAGAATCTTTCTCTCGAAAACTCCAAGAGCCGCCTCATCAGATGCTTTCATTGTCCATGCTTCCGCGCCATACACCAGCACAGGCATGATGAGTGACTTATAGAGTGTGATCTTTGTACGACGAGAGAGGACTTTACTTCTCAATTGCCTACTCAGCCCAAAGTAGCACTTGTTGGCAAGAGTGATTCTCCGTTGGATTTCAAGGCTGACATTATTATTGGTGTTAATGCTGGTTCCCAAATAAACGAAGTCGTCTACTTTTTCAAACTTGTAACTGTCAACAGTGACGTGGGTGCCAAGACGCGTATGCTCTGACTGTTTGTGTGCTGACAGGAGATACTTCGTTTAGTCCTCGTTCACCATCAGACCCATTCGCTTTGCTTCTCTATCCAATCCCGAGAAGGCAGAACAGACGTAGCCCTTGTTTTTACCGATAATATCGATGTCGTCGGCATACGCCAGAAATTGTACGCTCTTATAAAGTATTGTGCCTGAGCGGTTCAGTTCTGCGGCTCTTATTATCTTCTCCAACATAAGATTAAAGAAATCACACGAAAGGGAGTCCCCTTGTCTGAAACCTCGTTTGGTATCAAACGGCTCGGAGAGGTCCTTCCCTATTCTGACGGAGCTGGTGGTATTGCTCAACGTCATTTTACACAGCCGTATTAGTTTCGCGGGGATACCAAATTCAGACATCGCGGCATAAAGGCAACTTCTCTTCGTGCTGTCGAAAGCGGCTTTGAAATCGACAAATAGATGGTGTGTGTCGATCCTATTCTCGCGGGTCCTTTCCAAGATTTGGCGTATTGTGAATACCTGATCTATGGTGGATTTTCCAGGCCTAAAGCCACACTGATAAGGTCCAATCAGCTCGTTGACGGTGGGCTTCAGTCTTTCGCACAATACGCTCGATAAGACCTTGTAACCTATGATTAGAAGGCTAATTCCGCGGTAGTTGGCGCGTATGGCGGGGTCGCCTTTCTTGTGGATTGGGCAGAGCACACTTAAATTCCAGTCGTCGGGCATGCGTTCATCTGACCATATTCTGCATACGAGCTGATGCATGCACCTCATCAGCTCCTCGCCGCCGTACTTGAATAGCTCGGCTGGCAGGCCGTCAGCTCCAGCAGCTTTGTTGTTTTTCAGCCGCGTAATCGCTATTCGTACCTCGTCATAGTCAGGCGGTGGGACAGCTACTCCATCATCATCGACTGGGGACTCGGGTTCGTCTTCCTCACTACTTTCAGCGCTGCTACCATTCAGTAGGTTATAAAAGTGTTCCCTCCACAATTTAAGTATATTCTGGACATCGGTCACTAGGTCGCCATTGTTGTTCTTACAGGAGTTCGCTCCGGTCTTGAAACTTTCCGTAAGTCGCCTAACCCTCTGGTAGAATTTTCGGGCGTTCTTCCTGTCGGCCAGCATCTCAAGCTCTTCGCACTCACGTATTTCGGCCTATCTCTTCTTATTGCGGCAAATACGTCTCGCTTCCTTCTTCAGTTCCCTATAACGGTCCCACATGGCTCGCGTTGCGCCCGAACGCAGCGTGGCCCTGTAGGCGGCATCTTTTTTCTCTGCGGCTTCTTGACATTCCTCATCGTACCAGTTGTTCTTTCGGGCTCGCTGAAATCCAACTACTTCTTCGGCGGCGGTACTTAATGATCGGGAAATGTGGTTCCACTGCTCGCGTACGTCGGATTGTTGAAGAGTGCTCTCAGAGAGCAGGTGTGTGAGTCGAGTGGCGAATAAATTGGCCGTCTGTTGTGATTGCAGCTTTTCGACGTTAAGCTTTCCTTGCTTTGTTGGGCGCACATGTTTTGCTGCACAGAGGCGGGTGCGTATCTTGGCTACAACAAGATAGTGATCCGAGTCGATGTTTGGCCCTCGGAGTGTACGTACGTCCAAAACGCTTGAAGCATGCCTTCCGTCTATCACAACATGATCGATTTGGTTTCTCGTTTTTCGATCTGGAGACAGCCATGTAGCTTGGTGGATGTTCTTATGCTGGAACCTAGTACTACATATTACCATATTTCGGGCCCCGGCGGAGTCGATCAGCCTCAGTCCGTTATCGGACGTTTCGTCGTGGAGGCTGAATTTTCCGACAGTGGCGCCAAAGATCCCTTCCTTGCCCACCTTGGCATTAAAATCGCCAAGCACGATTTTGACATCGTGTCGGGGGCAGCGCTCATATGTGCGTTCCAAGCGCTCATAGAAGAGATCCTTGGACGCCTCATCCTTCTCTTCCGTCGGGGCATGGGCGCAGATGAGCGAGATGTTGAAGAATCTAGCTTTGATGCGGATTGTGGCTAGACGTTCGTCCACCGGGGTGAACGCCAGTACTCGGCGACGGAGTCTCTCTCCTACCACGAATCCAACACCGAATTTGCGCTCCTTTACGTGGCAACTGTAGTAGACGTCGCAAGGCTTCACGCTTACTTTACCTTGCCCCGTCCATCGCATTTCTTGGATGGCGGTGATGTCAGCCTTTGTCTTCCCGAGGACATCAACCAGCCGGGCAGAGGCACCTTCCCCATTAAGGGTCCGGATATTCCAGGTGTATACCCTTAAATCATAGTCCTTTATACGTTTGCCGTGGTCGTCATCAGAAAAAGGGGGTCTCATCCGAGGCTTGTTGGAATTTTTCATTGGGCGGGGTTTTAACGTGGCGGGACCCAAACCCAGCGCACGCGAAGTTTTACGCCTTCTCACTTTAGCTCGCTCCCAAATGGGTGTTTGGTTGCTACCCAGAGGATACGTGGACATAAATATCCGGACGTTGTGAGCTGCGATTTGAACCGTACGCACAAGAATCGCTTCTGGCCACTCCCAGGTGAATGGCAGTCAAAAGTTTTCCACTTCTGCGCACGGAACCATCCTCCCTTCTGGCCACTCCCAGGTGAATGGCAGTCAAAAGTTTTCCACTTCTGCGCACGGAACCATCCTCCGCACGGAACCATCCTCTTGAAACGCGTTACTGCTCACTAAATTTGTAAAAATAAAATTTTTTCACTTAATTGTTATATTCTTCCTCATTGTGGTAAATTTACTCATCATCACAGCAGGGCGCAATCTTCTTTTCGATGATTATTGTATTGCTACTTTGAATTTCTCAATTTTGACAATTCTGATCTAAGAGTAAGTAAATTTTAAAAAGCTTTTTAAATTGCCGTTTACAAACATTTTTCAATTTATAAGCCTTTTTTAAGCTACTTTATTGTTTATGAATAAGGCTATTACAAATTAGCACAATCAAAGCACGTTCCTTATCGAAAAATTTATTATTAAGAAAATTTGCTGTTCTCACATTTTCTTTCAACCTCCAATTCGACTTTTATTACTTTTTGTATGTCATCGCCGCCAGGACGGCGCAATCTTGTATTCTATCTTTCTTGTCAAATATGTATTTAGATCTAACTCTCATACTACTATCAATGGTAACCATGAATATTCATTAAAATCGTTTCAATTCGTAATAAAAGTAATTTAAAGAAAATTGTCTTCAAAAAATACGTCCCAAAGCATCCCTGTTGATATCATAATTCAAATGCAAATTAGAATAGAAATTTTGATGCAAAAGTTTTTCTGCGATATTCATCATACAAATTTATCATCTTACTTGTCCGTATGTCGCTCTGGAAAGAAATATATTTTAACTGATATGTTTTCTTGCAAACAAATGCAAATGTACCTATTTTTTCCACCGGCAAGCACGAATATGATATTCAAAACAGAAGCAATGACAATGAATTTTACACACATTGTTGTATTTTAGCGCAACGATAAGTTTCACAAATATTTTAAATTATTGCCTGGAAAATACACATTTATCGTTATTATTCGAAATGCAAGACTTGGCATGCATTTTTAATTTCTTTTTTATTCAATTCAAATGAATAGAAACACATTTTCCTAAAATATTTCTCAATTTACATTTTAAAGTTTTTTCTGAAACTTGAATGTAACTCTGTGCGGAGAATGAGAGAATTGAAAATCAGGTGATCTCAGCTGTTTTCAAATGTAAACAAACAAAATGGCGCTTTCCATACTTTGCGTATAACACCTTCTTTATTGCATCATGTTATTGGATCATGCTTTTGCAGATTCTTGTTCTCGCAGCTCATATTTCACACAAGAAAAACAGCTTTTACACCGATATTTAGTTAATTTTTTGTAGAGAAAAGTAAATGCTTTTGTCAAATTGTTTGCGCGCGTCCTAAATTTGGCAAAAAGTCATATGATGCTATGCTTGCAATTGCCGAAGCCAGCGGTTGCAAAAGTGCAGTGAAAGCGCAGGGCGATAGCACCAAGCACACAAGAAAAGTAGCAAATAAAAACCCCGCCGCTGTTGCAATGAAATAAAAGAAATGTTTTTCAAAAATTAAAAAAAAACTTACAAATAGTTTAATAAAATACAGCAGAAGTGCTGAATCGTTCGTATATGTATGTGCATAAATTATGCGGTTCAATTTGCAATTGGCTTATTTGAGCCTACTATCGGTGACGTGTATTTCGAGGTAAGCGCTAGTACATTAAACTATGCACACATTGTGTGCATTTACACATTTTTAACTGCATGTATAATTTTCCTTGCCCAATAATTCGTATATTTTCTTAATTTTCCATTGCAGTTGTTTCCTTTTCCTTGTGCTTCTCACAGAGAACGCCAAATATGTAGCTGCAAGTAGTGACGAAGCAGTGGCAGCGGCGGCTGCTGCATTGCCCACTACAGCCGATACAGCTGCCGATAACCGAGCAGATGTGCCGCAAAAACCAGCTGCAGCTGTTGCAACTGCAACAACGGCAACAGTGGCACATGATGAAGTTTTACCGAATTATAAAAAAGTGAAAAAGTTATTAAACAATGTTGGTGACGCAGTGGCGCCGCCGCGTGCAGCTGTGCCAGACGTTGTTAAAATGCTGGAAAGCGTTGTTGACGATGATGGCGCAGCATTAACGGCGCCAGCACCGGCAGCGGCAGAAGCAGCAACGCAGTCAGCTGACGGTTGGCTGTTGCCTAGTGTTGTTGATAGAGCAAGTGAAGTTGATGCAAATGAGTTCATAAATGCAGAAATTAATGATGCAGTTAAAAGTGAAGTGAACGACAACGAGAAGCAAAATGTTAAAGAGGAGTTGGCAACAGCAGATAATTTGCCGCCGTCGTCGCATGAAGACGACTTGCAAAATAAACCAGCAGAAGCCGATGGGCAAGAAAGGTGAGTTGTTTTGTTATGGTTTAAATTGTATGTGCTTTTGTAGGAAGTAGAAGTATTAAATTCTATTGTTCCAGAAACAGGAGAAGACGCATACCTATGAAATTCTAGATTGTAAGAAAACTTAAATATTTCTTCACTTTCTAGGCATCTATACATATCGCTAGCTTAGAGGAGTGAAAAGCCATTTTCTTCAAGTATTTTGTCTGTTTAAAGCAACCCAGTAGAACTTGGGAGCATCGTACGATTGCTCGGTGAGTACTCCCTTGGGAGTATACGAATACTCCCCATTGCTCCCTATGCTTCTGTGTATAAGCATGTAATTTTGTATACTCCCTTTAACATTGGATGTCCTAGGAGGGGGAGTAATCCCTTTTACCTCCTAAACGAGCAATCGGGGAGCACACACAGAATTATCATCCCACAAACCTCCTAATAAAGCAATACGGGAGTACTCCCATAGTTACCTCCCAGAAACCTCCCAAAAAGACAACAAGGGAGTGCACATAGAAAACATCCCATATTCCTCCCGAACGAGCAATAAAGGAGTGCTCCCATTAGAGACATCCCGAAAACCTCCTGTAGGAGTAATAAGAGAGCAATGATAACGAACATTTTACATTAGCCAAATAGATTTTGCTATTTATTACATTTTTTTATTTAACTTTTTAATCACGTGCATTTGTGCAATATTACAAGATCTTAAAAATAAAACATAAATGATACGTCTTACATAATTGCTTAATTTTAGAATTATATCGCAGAGAAATCATATGAAATTAAAACATAATAATAACAAAACGGTAAGATAAGATTTGAACGTTATTCACCTATATGCACATATAAGTATGTACTCCTATATGATTTCCTGGGTGTCAAGGATGCTTGCCAGTTCAGGAATCCACTAAGCGGGGAAATTGTGAAGGTGACTTTGCTTATCTGACATCTTTGTCACCCATGCGATGTTTAAATGCTGACACTAATTTGCGCAATCTGAAAAGTATTTAACGGTGCATTTATAAGTAATACAATACATACTTAATATATTTAAACAAAAGTTGAAGTACATACCAACGGACTTTTATTAAAATCTGTGTGCTATCCAAATTAAATTATTGTGTCCTCCTTATGCTTCTATAAGAAATATTTTCTGTTGTTTTTTTTTTGTATGATAAATTTTTTCGAAAACACAAATTTCTTTTGAGCGAGGTGCGTATTGCTCTCCTATCAATCAAAAAGAATACTCTTTGATTTCTCGCTTAGGAGACATCACTTTTTGCTCCTAAACGTGTAATAACGGAGTACAAAACCGACAAATCTCGCTTATTGCTCCCAAATCATGCCTCAGGGAGCATTCTTTAATTTCTCGCTTAGGAGTTCTCTCATTAAGCTCCTAAGCGAGCAATACAGGAGTACAAAACCGAGAAATCTCGTTTACTGCTCCCAAATCATGCCTCAGGGAGCATTATTTCGTCGCTCGCTTAGGAGATCTCTTATTTGACTCCTAAACGAGTAATAAAGGAGTACAAAACCAACAAATCTCTCTTATTGCCCAGAAATCAGGTTAAGGGGAGTACTCTTTTATTCCTCACATAGGGAGATCTCCCTTCAAGTTCTAGTGGGAAAGTACAACTTCACACGACTCAGAAGGATTCGATTTTTATTAAAAGATTTAATACTATTTGGCCTTACGTATCGGATTTTCGGTGCTTCTTTTGGACTAAGCAAATTTTCCTTTCATTGAATATAAACGAGAATAAATAAAAGGAGTACCTTTATCTTTTTCGAAATAATGCATTTTAAATTTTTCTATGCTCCTGTATCAAAATACGAGTTTTCTTAAAAAGTGGCTTTGCAACTTTTCACTCTAAGCTAGCGATATGTATACTCCTCAATGAGGCAAATCCTTGTAACCTAATATTCTCAAAAATCTTTTTTGTTTCTAATAATCCGAGCTGAGCTGTAAATGACAAAAGTAGGCACAAACAATATTTTTAAGCTACACTGAATTCGACAGTTCATAGCTGACGATTTCCCGCTAAGTATTTATGTACCTTTGAACTGAAACTTATCAGAGAATGAGATCTTCCCTGCAAAAATCGTTGGACCATGTAGTCTATTTGTGGTATATTGGAGTACTTACAAAAGTGCTCCTCTGTCATGCTGTAGCGGACCAACTCGTGTCTCTGCACCAGCTTATTGTTACCCGATCACTGCTCGTGTTTTAACGAAATGTGATTGAAGTTAAGCATTTGAAAGTACATTTGCATGTCTGGCTGTAGCTGAACGTGTAGAGATGCTAGCTGTTAGTTGTTAGCTCCCAGCATGTTCGGGTTCGAATGTCGTCAGAGGCAACATGTAATTTTTAATTTTTGTTTTTGGTTTTTATTCATTTCAAAAAAAGCATCTGCGAAGTAAAGAACAAAAGCGTGTACAAACGAAAAATTATAACGACAATGTCATTGGAGTATGTTAGGAGTAGTTTTGTGCTACTCTGATGTAATGCAGAGATGGAGTATATGGTCCTGCCCTAGGACATCGCAATGTTAATTGGAGCATATTTTTTATATGAATTGTGGTTAATTTTGGAGTACTCCTTGGTCCTTCGGGAGTACTCTTTACATGCATGCATGGAGTAGTCGCGATTTTTGCAGGGTTATGTACATACATACGTACATATGAATACAATGAAATATATCGCTAGCTTCCCTGCAAAAATCGCGACTACTCCATGCATGCATGTAAAGAATACACCCGGAGGACCAAGGAGTACTCCAAAATTAACCACAATTCATATAAAAAATATGGTCCAATTAACATTGCGATGTCCTAGGGCAGGACCATATACTCATCTCTGCATTACATCAGAGTAGCACAAAACTACTCCCAACATACTCCATTGTCGTTATATTTTTTCGTTTGTACACGCTTTTGTTCTTTACTTCGCAGATGCTTTTTTTGAAATGAATAAAAACCAAAAACAAAAATTAAAAATTACATGTTGACTCTGACGACATTCGAACCCGAACATGCTAGGAGCTAAGAACTAACAGCTAGCATCTATACACGTTCAGCTACAGCCAGACATGCAAATGTACTTTCAAATGCTTAACTTCAATCACATTTCGTAAAAACACGAGCAGTGATCGGGTAACAATAAGCTGGTGCAGAGACACGAGTTGGTCCGCTACAGCATGACAGAGGAGCACTTTTGTAAGTACTCCAATATACCACAAATAGACTACATGGTCCAACGATTTTTGCAGGGTTAGACTGAAAAGTTGCTAAATCCACTTTCTCAAAAAAAAAAAAAATATATATATACATATTTTGATTCAAGAACTAAGAATAATTAACTAGTAATTTTTAGCAAAAAAAAAAACCGACTTCAACTCCC